GAAGTGCGGGGTAAAAAAAAGGGCCTTCGGTGGTGACGTTGGACGCCGCTCCCGCTTTTACGCACCGCTTTGCACGCTTTGCGCACGGACGCATGGCACTCCAACAGCCAGCCGCAGCACCGACCCTGGAAGCGACAGGTACGGAGCGGAGCGCCTCCTCCGAGATGTCGCGCGACTCCTAACTCGGGTGGTCAGGTGGGGGGTTGGCGGTCCGGGTATATATCTGGCTGCGTGAACCCACCGTGACTTTATGTCCACCACGATCCTGTCTCCCCCTTTTCTCCACATCCAATCCAATACGCAAAGATGTCGAAAGATCCTCGCGAGACGCAGCTGGAGCTGGCGCCGACCAACCGCGTGGCCATCTTCCACGAGCACGGCGGACCAGACAAGATCTCGATCCAGCAACTCGACACTACCAAGGAGTCGGAGCTCAACGCGGGAGAGGTGCTGGTCAGGGTGGGTCTGCTCTTGTTGATGTCTCGCCCCTTTTCGTTCTTACTTGACTGACACCTTGTGCTTGGCATTTGGCTTTGAATGCTGCGATCAGGTTCTGTATACGGGAGTGTGCCACTCGGACCTGCACGCGCTGCAAGGCGACTGGCCTGCGCCTACCAAGCTGCCGCTGATCGGTGGACACGAGGGCGCGGGTATCGTCGTGGCGCTTGGACCGGGCTCGCAAGAGTACGTGCAAGTCGGCGACCGCGTTGGCATCAAGTGGATCGCCGACGCCTGCCTCAACTGCGAATGGTGCCGACTCACGCACGAGATCAACTGCGCCCAATACAAGCCCAGCGGATGTAAGTAGTCCAGCCTTGCTTTTCGCCACGTCGGGTGTAAAACTCACGTTGTGCTTTGTTTGATGGACAGATGCTGTGGATGGAACGTTCCAGCAGTACGTGCGGCACACTGCGCGGTACCTGACCAAGATCCCCGACGCTCTGCCGCTCGACCAGGCTGCACCGATCCTGTGCGCCGGTGTGACCATCTACCGCGCGCTCAAGGAGGCGCATCTGCAGCCGGGCAACTGGGTCGTCATTCCCGGCTCGGGCGGTGGACTGGGCCATCTGGGCGTGCAGTACGCTCGCAACGCCGGTCTGCGCGTCATCGGCATCGACACGGGCGACGACAAGAAAAAGATGAGCCTCGAGCTCGGTTGTGAGGTCTTGTAAGTCCTTCACCTCGGTCGCTGCCAATTGGGCCTTTGCTGACCAGTGGCCTTTTTTCGGCAACAGCGTCGACTTCAAGTCTACTTCCGACGTGCCTTCTGCGATCAAGGAGGCGACTGGCGGAGCGGGAGCACATGCCGCGGTGGTGGCAGCAGCTACATCGGCGGCGTACGAGCAGGCGCTCGACTACCTGCGCCCGCGCGGGACGCTGGTGATCGTCGGCATGCCCAACTCGATCCTGCCCGTGTCGATCTTCAAGACGGTCCTCTTCACGCACCGCATTGTGGGATCCGCGGTGGGCAACCGCCAGGACGCCGTCGAGGCGCTCGACATTGCGGCGACTGGCCGCGTCAAGGTGCATTTCACGCTCAAGGGTCTGAGCGAGCTGCCAGAGGTGTTCCAGGCCATGATCGACGGTAAGATCGCTGGACGTGTGGTGCTGGATGTCGACAAGTAGGCGCGCATGGCATCCTTCTCTGCAATCCTCAGTGGTTTCCAAGTTTTGCAGCGATTCTCACAGCGCCGTGTGCCGAGGGACTGAAGGGTCACGATGCAGGCGGCGACCGAGATGTGCTCAGCGACTCACCCGCATTGCTCAGGTGGTGTTCATCGGGCGCCAGCCATCTACTCGCGCCGCCTCTGTAGGTATGGAATCGTGAATTGCGTATGCCCCTATGACACGACTGTGTGACGGTGTTGGGTCTAGTCTGACCTCTGGACGTGGGCGCGCTCGAGGATCTCCTTGAAGTCTCTCGGCCCTGCATAATCCTTCCTTGCAAAGACGAACCAATTGATGGTCGCCAGGAAGATGGTTGTGGCCACGACCACCACGGCGTAGTTCATAAACGAGCCGGACGTGACGGGGATGTACGAAGGGAAGAGGAAGAGCACTGTTGTCACTGCGATGTAGGCCAGCGCGGCGGAATTGATGACGGGACCCAGGACAGGTCCGAGGGAGTACTTGATGTCCTTGGGGATCGGGACCTCCTCGTCTTGCTGATCTTGTGCGCCGTAGATGCGTTTGCGACCGCCGAAGAGCATTCCTGCGATGGGAACGACGTAGCTGATCTGGAGCAGTACGACCGAGGCGCTGACAATGGCCTGAACCGCGATCACGGAGCCGAAGAGGATCACGCCGAATACGACGTAGCAGCCAAAGCAGAAGAGCACTGCGTAGGTGGGCACCTCGAACCTGGGCGAGACGTAGGCGAGTTTGCTCCTGAACGGCAGACATCCGTCGTTGGCGTAGGCCTGGATCATGCGGCTCGAGGTGAGCATGAGAGCCGGGCCGGCAAAGAAGATGGTGCCGAAGAGGATGAGGTTGAGCACGAGCGTTGCCGCCTTGCTCTGGGTAGCCTGGTAGAACGCCTCTACGATACCTGCGGCACCGGCAGCAATGACGTTGTCCATGTTGCTGATGCCGGAGAGCACAGCGATGAGCACGAGGAACGCCGAGGTTCCACCGATGAGGCAGGAGAGCACCATGGCCTTGGGTGCGTTGATGTGGGGTCGGTCGATCTCGTCGATGACGTGCGATGCTCCATCTGCGCCGACGAGACAATACTGTGCCTGGATGAGACCGATCATCCACGCAACCCCATCGGGCCATCCAGTCAAGTTGACAAACTGACCAAAGACGACGCTGGCCGGGGTTCTATGACCTTGTGCCGAGGGCACGGCGAGGCAGACGACGAATACGGTGACAGCTCCGGTGAGCGACCAGAAGATGGCTGCCTTGTTCATGGCGTCGAGGATCCTTGCACCGAAGAGGTTGACGAAGACGCAGTAGATGGATGCTGCGAGGTAGATGCAGAAGGTCAACCATACGCCTGGTTTGTATTCGGGTTGGTAGATGCTGATGATGCCCATGACGGTGCTAGCAGCGTAGAGGGGAGCGCTACAACCCAGCGCGACCCAACCGGTGGCACCCAGCCATCCGGCAAAGTAAGCCACTGGAGCACGCACGCGCTTGGGCGCCATAGCATACGCCCAGTGATACTGTCCACCCGTCGACGGAAAGACATGGCAAAGTTCCGCCAACGACAGTGCAACCGTCGACGCGCAGATGGTTCCTACCAGCAGACCGTAGACTACGCCGACGGGGCCTCCCGCGCCGAGCGCAAGGTTAATGGCAGCCGAAGCGGCGGTCCAGGAGTTGAGGATGGCGAACGAAAGCCCAATGAGCGCCAGGGTGCTAAAGTGCTTTCGCGGCACTACGGCCATGGCGCCCTGATCGAGCGTCTCGGTCTGGTGGTAATCCAAGACCGAGCTGTTGGGTTTATCATCGTACGTCTCGTTGTTCTTGTCCATAACTCTTTCCTATCGAGCAAGGCTGGAGGCCCTTTCCGGCTACAGAAGCCTTGAAAATGAAGCTCTTGAGGGGCTGAAATTCGCCGGAGAATGGGTGGCAGCAATCAGAGCATCTACCGAGATGAAGTTCTTGTGGGGACGGCGGCGAAAGGGAATGTGCTCAAACGGACACCTCTTTATAACGAACCAAGAACGACAAATGATTGGTTGTACGACGATAAGCACGCGTGGAGACAAAGTGCGGGGTATTCGCCCGCTACATCGTGCAGCATGTGCAGCATCGGATA